ACAGGGTTAAGTGGTTTGACTTGGATGTGTTATTCTGTTACTGACTGTGTCATGTGATTTGATTTGGGTGTGTTATTCTGTTACTGACTGGGTCATGTAGTTTGAATTGGATGTGTTAATCTGTTACTGACAGGGTTAAGTGGTTTGACTTGGATGTGTTATTCTGTTACTGACTGTGTCATGTGATTTGATTTGGGTGTGTTATTCTGTTACTGACTGGGTCATGTGATTTGATTTGGGTGTGTAATTCTGTTACTGACTGGGTCATGTAGTTTGATTTGGATGTGTTAATCTGTTACTGACAGGGTTAAGTGGTTTGACTTGGATGTGTTATTCTGTTACTGACTGTGTCATGTGATTTGATTTGGGTGTGTTATTCTGTTACTGACTGGGTCATGTAGTTTGATTTGGATGTGTTAATCTGTTACTGACAGGGTTAAGTGGTTTGACTTGGATGTGTTATTCTGTTACTGACTGGGTTAAGTGGTTTGACTTGGATGTGTTATTCTGTTACTGACTGGGTTATGTAGTTTGATGTGGGTGTGTTATTCTGTTACTGACTGGGTTATGTAGTTTGATGTGGGTGTGTTATTCTGTTACTGACTGGGTCATGTAGTTTGATTTGGGTGTGTTATTCTGTTACTGACTGGGTAAAGTGATTTGACTTGAATGTGTTTGTTATTGACTTGGTCATGTGATATGACTTGAATGTGTTTGTTATTGACTTGGTCATGTGATATTACTTGAAGGTATTTGTTATTGACTGGGTCATGTGATATTACTTGAAGGTATTTGTTATTGACTTGGTCATGTGATATGACTTGAATGTGTTTGTTATTGACTGGGTCATGCGATATGACTTGAATGTGTTTTTTATTGACTTGGTCATGTGATATGACTTGAATGTGTTAATCTGATACTTACTTGGGTCGGTGGTTTAACTGCATACACTTCTTATTAATGTGTTGTATACCGATTATACCAAGTATGGTACATTTTACAGTTTTCACTAGTCTAGTTTTATATCATCAAGTTATGAAGTACTTTGTGCTACTTAGAACGGGTATTAAAATAAACAGCTTTGTTAAGTACAAATTAAGTAAACAACAATAACTAAAATATATTTACAAAATACAGAGTTATTTACCCAACTAGTTTCGACGTACCAAGAGGATTTTTCTCGCAGATGTCGTGGTCGAAACTAGTTGGGTAAATAACTGTTTACTTTGTGAATTGATTTTAGTTAGCGTCTTTTTTTATATACTTAATTTGTGCTTAAAAATAGCTGTTAGTTTCATTAGTTTTATGTAAGCCTAGTCTTAAGAGATTCAAAAGTAATACCTGTCGAGTTTATATTATTTGTATATTTTGAGCATAGTGGTTTGAAAGTCACTTAATTATTTAAACTTGCACAGTTAGACGCAAGTTATTTTCCATGTCGTTCGACTGTCATATGGCTTAGAATGAACGTAACATAACTTCAAGCAAAGAGGATGTAAATTTACAACCACTCCTTCCTGATGACAAAAGTAATCTTCAAAATAATATTTTTCTTTTACCAGCCGTGTTTTCGAGTGCTGCAACAGAGTGAGAAATTACGAACAAAGATGTACATACAAGAAACCTTGGTCCTCTCTAGAAACCTTGGTCCTCTCTCTTTTCTTGAAAGGCCTGTCGTATCCTGCTAGTTCGAATCATAAATTACGAACAAAGATGTACATACAAGAAACCTTGGTCCTCTCTCTTTTCTTGAAAGGCCTGTCGTAGCCTGCTAGTTCGAATCATAAATTACGAACAAAGATGTACATACAAGAAACCTTGGTCCTCTCTCTTTTCTTGAAAGGCCTGTCATATCCTGCTAGTTCGAATCATAAATTACGAACAAAGATGTACATACAAGAAACCTTGGTCCTCTCTCTTTTCTTGAAAGGCCTGTCGTAGCCTGCTAGTTCGAATCATAAATGTTCGTTCTTTCAGCCGTGGGGACGTTATAATATGTTAGTAAATCCCACAATTCGTTGGTAAAAGAGTAACTCAAGAGTTGACAGTGAATGATGTTGATTAGCTGCCTCCCCTTTTGTCTTTCACTTCAAAATGAGGGACGGCCAGTGCAGATGACTTTTGTTTAGTTTTGCGCTAAATTCAATAAACATTTCTTAAAATTTATGTCTTTGTTCATGTTATATGTTTATTTATGCTCTTTGTGTCCCTTGAGGGATTTATCTTGGCTATTTTGTATTTGAATTAGTTCAAAACTTTGAAGGAACTGTTTATGTCAAACTTTTTCAACGAACCTTGATTTGGGTTACAAACGTCAAAAGAAGTTAAGTTCTTAATCTTTTTTCATTTCAGTTCTTGGTTTTAATGACGTCATGTATAGCTACTCTTTAGATAAAGACATGATGGAATATTATACTATTTGCATGTGTTGAGAATGTGTCTTTTGAAACTCCAACGTTATGTACAGGTTTTACGCATACAGACAAGTCACTTTAAATACGTATATAATTTTCAACTTATAACGATTTGAAAAAAGAAAGGATCATAAGTCAACCCGTTATCTGGTCTCAACGGAAGCACTGTTTACATTTAATTTGCTGCTTTGCAGTCCAAGCACTTTATTTCATTTATCATGTGTATATTCACCATCAGATGGCGCTTAGTTAGAAATACTGTGTTGTTTGTTTTAGCGTAAAGCTAGGCCAATTGGTTAGGGAGCTCGACTCGCAATCTGCTGGTCGCGGGTTTGAATCTCTGTCCCACCAAACATGCTCGCCCTTTCAGCCGTGGGGGC